AGTAAAATAAACAAATAAGGATAATAATAGACATTTATAGATAATAAGATAGAATAGATAAATAAATAAACTTTTAAAAAATAGCAGTAAAACCAATAAATGAATTGAGATTAATAAACAAATGAACTTGAAATGAAATGCAATGAATAAATGAAAAAATAAATAAATAAATATAAAAAAATATTTAAAAAATAACAATAAATCTGCAAAGGACCATTAATTATAAGCTTGTCATATATGTTTTTTAAGTCTTTCACTATCCAGGAACTTGATGACTTTGGTAACGATTTCTTCTTGATTTCCCAGAGATGCTGATATATTCTGGGGTATTCCGAGATCTTTTAACCATACGGTGTAAAAAGGAAACTCTTCCAAAACATGCTTTATAGTAAATGTCTGGTCACACTTTTGACATCTGGGGATAAGATCTTTTGTTAGTTATGCCGATCCTCAGCCGCGTGAGGACGACCTCTTCTCTACGACTGCTGCGTCTGGAGCTGGTCCACGGTTGCACCTCTTTCTTTATTATTTTTAATTTGCTAGGTGCACTGTTGTCCCACCGTCTTGGCCATTCTTGGAATATGGTTTCTCTCAGAGGTCGTGCAAGTTCAGATGGCGTCGAAAAAACTTTACCGCGGCCTGCAAGAGTAAGAGCTTCTTTTGCTGCTCTATCAGCCATTTCATTTCCTTTAATTCCTATATGGCCAGGAGACCAGATAAAATGTGCCGTTGTTCCAACTCCATGAAGCATTTTTATAAGACTTAAAATGCAGTGTATCCCTGGATGGTCTAGATACATGTTATTCATGGCTTTCAGAGTACTTAGAGAATCCGATAACACAACCACATTTGGAACTTGCTTCTTCATGACGTATCGTCGGAGACTCATTGCTACGGCGTTAATCTCAACTGTGTAAACACTACAAAGATGGTGTAATTTATATTAGTAGGTAGTATCAGGGGTGACAAAGGCTGAAGCAGTAGATGTATCTGATTTGGATCCGTCGGTGAATATTAAAAGATGTTCAGGTAATGTGATGATTATTTTGTGGAATTTTTCTTTATAATCTGGAGGTAATGTACTATCTTTGGTGAATTAATACATAGGTATTAAACTCATTGATTCCCGAATTTTCAAATTTTCTTCTTCTATAGTATCTTTAATATTGATTCGAGTCTGGCATTGTTAGTTGTAATACAAAATGGACAAATAAGAACTATGAAAGAATTTGAAAAACAATTAAAGTAAAAACTGAAAGAAATATTTTCACAGATTGAAAACTAATTTTCTAAAATAAGAGATGCAATATAGACATATTTTATACTATTAGAAAAGCTAAACATTTTAGAAAAAAAAACAATACTAAGATAAAATCGTAGAAGGTAATGGAGAGTGACGAAAAGCCTTAAAGACCTTAAGTCAATAAAGACAACTGTTAAGACAATTGTTGTTGTTAATAATGTCTACGTTTATATTATTGAATTGGAAACAAACTACTTCAGGATAAGCTAAATATATTTTGCGCAAAGATTCGTAAATCCACATACATTTTCTCAAATTTGTATTTATAATTAAAGTAACTATTCATAACGTTAATTAGAGTGTTCATTATATTATCTGACATTTGGATTTTCTTAGCTTTCCAATCCATCTTTTTTAAGAATTTTTTAACCATATTATTAGTATAGATTTCTTAGATAACAAACTTGAGCGTTGGCTGCCAGTTTTTTTAACATTAGTATTTTTTTTATATATTTAAATCTGATTTTGAAATGGTTTTGTCACTAGTGTTACCGTGCAACAAAAATATTGTGCCGAGTAATATTATCATCGTCTTTACGTTCAAGAAACCATTCAGGGAGTTATGAATTTCTAAAATATAAAAATATAATCTAGAACAGGAGTCTCCAAACTATGGCCCACGGCCAGGATCCACACAAAAAAACTTCAATCCGGCCCGCGAAAGTTTATTTGATTATTTGATAACATTTTAAAAAATATTTTATTTATTTACTTTTATTAGTTATACATTATATATTCCGGGCTTACAATAAATTTACCATCTACCTCGGTATTCAGCAAATATGATATTAAGGAGAATAAATGATAACATAAAAAAAAGAATAGTAATAACAAAAATAAGACAAAAAAACAAAACAAAAAGAAAGTAGTAAAATAACACATAATAACATAACACACAAAAAAATAGTACAGCAAGTAGCTCAATGCAATAAATCTCTTGGCCAGCGCCTCAGCAGTCTTCTGGGCGGATTATATGGATTTGTGGCAGTAGATAGAGCTTGAGTAACTGGATTGGAATTTAGAGTCAGTCTGTCATAACAATTATTAAAGCGGTCAGTGGCAGTTGCCGTGGTGAAAGGAATGTTAAGGTCAGTGTGTAACGTGAGGTTTGAAACATAAAAGGGTGCGTCTACAATTTTCCGAAGAACTTTTGACTGGAATGACTGGATGATTTTTATATTTGATTTCTTTGCTGTTCCCCATAGTTCGATCCCATATGTCCAAAGTGGTTTAATGAGGACTTTGTAAATAGTTAGTTTAATAGTCACAGATAATTTAGAACGTCTGTCAAGTAGCCTAGAAAGAAGTCCGTATCCTTGATTAAGTTCTTTTCTTTTTTGTTTTATGTGATATATCCATGTCAGTCGTTTGTCCAAGTGGAGACCCAAATATCGCACAGTTTTTGAAGGAGGTAGAGCGATATTATTAAAGAACACTGGAGGACAAGAGTCATGTCTAAAGTGTAAATGAAACAAATTGGCTCTTAGATTCATTCATTTTTATTCTCCACATTTTAGCCCATCGAGCTATCTCGTCTAGATGTTCTTGTACCCAACAGTGTTGTTGTGGAATGTCTGAACAGTAAATGTTGAAAAGTGTAGGACCCAAGACACTGCCTAGAGGTACTCCAGCTTTTATTTGTTTGATGGCAGAAATATTTAAATTTAGCAAATTACTCACACACGAGGTCACTACAACATTCATTGCATGTGTTTTTTCTCTTTAAAACCTCAATTCACAGCGTCAAGTATCATTTACATAACTTTTTTTTTGTTAACACAAGCCATGGCCCGAGGGTTGGAAGTCTCAATGCAGCCCCCGGAACATAGTCAAGGCTAGGTAATATTTGCTAAAGGCTAGGTATATAGCTTAGCTAAGCTAGGTAATATTTGCGGGAAACCCCATAAAATGAGTGGTAATGCCACATTAACAGTTATCAGCAATAATTTTTTTATTAACAACTGAAGGTGCTAACACGTATGCAAAACACCCGTTGCTCGGTAACCAACCACATGATAAACCAAAGTTTACAAGATATGAAATAATTACCAGTTCGTGTCCAGATGCTGGATTTTAACTCTGGCCTCAACCTCCCCTCTCCTCTGGCCTGTAGTGTAGCCTAAAAGGCGAGGAAGGGGTGGACGAAAAAAAAATATATAACCATTTTTTAAGTGAACGGCTGGATTTATTTTTAAATTTGATAGCTGAAATAATTAGGTGAGATGCCGTTAGCGTTTTTAAACTATTCCATCCACTAATAGGTATGTAACGATTTTTTGAGTGACCACTGAACCAATTTTTTAAGTTAGAACACTCAAATTATTCGGTGAGATTCTGTTAGGTTTTGACATGACCTGAGCTCAAAATACTACAAAAATATTTTATTATATTTTAAGTTAGTTTTGAATATGTTATCAATACTTAAAAAATAAAAACGTCACATGACCACCGAAAACCATATGTTTCCTTTCCGTTGTCCCGCCGTTCCTTAATTTATCATACATTCTTTTAAAAAATCAGGACTTTTTAAAGACGCGAGACAAAGTCTTAAAAAATATGGATTGTTCAGCGAAACTCTGGAAATCTGCTTACCTTACTCAACATTCAAGTCATGAGTTTCCTTCAGGAGTGGAAGGCATTGGACGAGGACACCAATTTTAAATATTGGTAATTTTAATTTTCTCAACAATCTGCCATGGTTTAGATACCCTTCCACATTCCCTACAATGGAAAGGGGTATTTCTATAGGATTTTACAATTGATTTATCAACAAGATATGCTTTATCCATTCCTGAATATATTAGATTTCTTCCTACTCTTTTTTAAATTTTAGAAGCATGTCTTAACATTAGGTCACAATTAATGCGGAGTATCATTATATTAAAAAAATAATTCATTGAACATGTAAACTGATCTTTAGATCAAACAAAATTGGACTTGTAAAAAACAAGGACTAGAAAGAAAAAATATTTGATGCAAATAAAAAAAATTTATTGTAAAAGCAACAAAATACAATAAAAACATCATACAGTTGCGTAAACAAATATAGTAAACTCAATAATCAATAAAAACAAATTCCCAATGGGAGAAAACTAAGAAATATTTCCTGAACTATAACTGTTCATTAATTAATTTTTACATTTATAAGAAACAATAATTTTCTATGCAAGTTTAAACATAAAAGCTTAACATAAAATACTTTTTTTTTATACATCAATCAAAGTAAATCAAACAACTGACAAATATATTGCCATTCACTAGAACCAGGTAGTGCGGTATAAGACCAAACAGTCCATGGCTCTGATATAACAACTAAAAACCTTATAAGGATAAGTATCCTCATAAAATTTACTGCATTCAAAAAATATCAAAATTAATGAAATTCATTTCCTTTTGTACGTTCCAGCATTTTTTTTTTCAGTCTTAGAACCATACCAACTGATGATATGTATGAACTCCATCTTCTCTGAATGGAAATTAATGTTTAAAATAATAAATAAATAAACAACTGCAGTTATAAAAGCATAAATAAACATAGTAATTTGAAAATAATCACTAAAACTTCAATTTGAGTTAAAAACATGTAAAAAAGAATATATTTATATATATTGTTAATACTATTCATGCAAAATTTTATATAAAAATCAAGGAACATTTACCAATATTTAAAAGAAGTATAAATATTAATAACAGTATTACATTTAAATTAGGTAATAAATTGAAACATAATAATAACCAGTACTTATTTATGAATAAATATGTAAAGTGCTTCCTTTTCAGTCTCAAGCTATTGTACGCCAATACCTTTACGTACAAACAATTCTATTAAAATTATAAAAACAACTATGAATCATAAAAATAAATAAAATACTGAAATACATTTAAAACCTAGATTTCAAAAATACGATTTATTTATTTGTTTAATTTTAAATAGATATTTGATTAAGAACACTTGAAATTAATTTATCGATAATGAAAAGTTATCCTTCACAATTAATAGAAACAAAAATGTAGTAAGAAAAACAAAACCAATAAAATACATAAAATTTAACTCGTCATTCAAAAATATATACTTAACACTATTTATATTCAAGAGTCATTAAAAATGTAATCTATACCCATGACTTGAACTTGGAAGATGTTACTTTTGAAACAGCTAGCTAGACAAATACCTAGAAATCATGCAATGTATAATTATAACACATTTATCAGTAACAAAGAAAAAAATATCACTAAAACTGAAAAAGTTTCTTAGGATACGTGGGTAAAATTATTGGGAGGGACAGGGACCATAATACTATATTTGGAGAAACTCCTCTAAAAACCTCGATCAAATCTTAAATAATTTTATAGTAATATGGTTTTATGAGTACTGGACACAATCTAAAATAGACAGAGATGGGTTTGATGAGAGTATTTCGATTGATAAGTTTATCCATAATGGAGAACAGAAACCAGTATATTCATATTATGAGATCATCAATTCTGTTTTTTTATTTTAACGTTAAGGTTTTATAAGTGTACATCAATCATGGGCCATCTGTGGTGTCTACCAATTTTGATCAATGAAATGTTTTCCCAACTTTTCATGAGTTTATCCAATGATTTCAGACTATCCACAAAAATTCCTGATTCACAATTTTCTTCCACATAAGCAATAATAAAGAAATGCATACTGGATATCTTTGCTTCTGTTTTACTTTCACTTACCTATATATGTAATGAATGGAAAAGGAAAGAATTGCAATCATAAAAATTTTCCAATCTGGGTTTTCAATGGAAATACAAGTTTCGAGGTCACCTGAGTCCAAATAACCAAGTCCCACAAAATGATCTGTGTGTATGTGAACAGCCTAGTTCAAAAACGAAAAGTCGTACAAAACTTAAATTGCGTGTTGAAGGTTTTTATATAGTTACGATGTGGCAGCAACTTTTTCGTTAAAATTCGGCTAACCGGAAGTCCCACTTTATATCAATGGTGAAAGACATATTTACAATTTTCTCAAAAACGGCTCTAACGATTTTTATTAAACTCGATGTATCATTGTATAATTAAGTGGTCTTTAACATCATTTAGGTCTTATCTCCATTTTTTACAAAGCTTAAATACCCAATGTTCAAATGTGTCTTCCTCTAAAAGTACAATTAATATAGATTATTTAAAAAAATTAGCTCTCTTTTATTGACAGTAACTATAAAAAATGGCTAAATATGAAGTTTGAAAGAATAGGGTAATTGGAAACTGGAGAAAAAAAGAAAAATGCTTATCCAGGTTGAAAATGAATCTCCGGAAATAACAGTCTGAATGAATAAGTGTAACAAATCGGAAAGCGGAGAATTTTAGAAGAAATAATATCAAATAAATAAAGTTGTAGAAGGTAACAGGGAGTGACGAAAAAAAATTTAAATAATAATTTCAGAAAACTAACATTATTTAACGTAAATCACATGTTTCCAAAGAAATAAAATGAAATTTTCTTACTAAATGTAAACTTTTAAATTTTTTTATAAAAAATATTTAAAATGCACCGTATTCATTGTTTAAAATACTATTTCATTGTACTTATGTGAAAGAAGTGATATACAAAAATATTTCATGGATATTTTTATAACCTTAAATACATTTACTGTAATTTAATAACTCTAGATACAATATTTTATTTAAATAATTCGCTATCTATTGGCCGTTTATTCCAAAAAATCATCAAATAACCTTTTAAAAAATTAAATTAGAGAATAATTTAATCAATTTTCTCTTTGTTTAATCCCAACATTATCCACTTACAATTAGTGTGACAACTTTTGACCTATCTGTGGCAGGCAATGAAAATCTCGTAATATCATTTTAGTAAACTTTACAATGGAAAATAACAGTTAATTAACTCTAAAAGTTTAATAGTTCTACAATCCACAATCATTTATAGGTTTAATAATTTAGATGTACTTTCAAATCAAAAGAGTCCTTCGGTTGACAGAATGACGAACTCCAATTTCAACTTTCTTTATTATTAATTTTAGTGATGTTTCTAGTGACAAAATTTATACCTTTATTCACAGTTCTATATTTCAAAACTGCAATCACCTACTCTGGAATCAACTAACCAACTGTTAATCTTTTGATGATTTGTTATCAGTAAGCTTTAAGCTATAGTTCTGCTTAAAATGCACTTCAAAAATTTTATAATAGCCCACCAATGCCAGAAAATAATTTCTATTCAAAGTAGAGCGATAAGTGAAATTTGTGTTGCGATTTTTTTATAATGCATTACTTTAACAAAATAGGACTTGCTTTTACAACTTTATGGCAAAAAAAAATAAATAAAATAAATTATTTTTAAGAAGAAGGAATATTAATTTTGTTTTAATTATTTATAGTTTATATGAGAGGTAGGTGTTGACGCACATCTTCTGTAATTGGCACACACTATAGAGACAGATGGTCAGTGACTGCAGTTATGTATGCATCCAGGATCAGGAATCTCCAAACTTTCTTGTGTTACTTCAGCTTAAAATGCATTTCAAAAATTTTATAATAGCCCAACAATGACAGAAAATAATTTCTATTCAAACTAGAGCCGTAAGTGAAAGTTGTGTGTTGTTCACAACAGATTTTTCAAGTTCTATTTGATCTCCCCCTAGTATTAAAGGATTGGCCACATATATGCAGAAATAAACGAAAGGCAAGAATGACACTTGTGCTCACCTTGGTTTCAGTAATGTGTAAACACAGCTTAAAACTTGTGTAAACACAGCTTAACATGATTATAGACAAAGAAAGGCAAGCGAAAATATAATATAATATATCCTTCAATATAATATAATAGTGAAATATTTATTCTTTATTTATAATGCATTTGCCAATATAAATCTGTAAGATTTTAATTACTTAATGCTCATGCAGTATTATTTAGATATATATTATATATTATAAACTGTATAGTTTTAATATATAAATATTTATCTGTAATAAACTAAAGCTAAAAAAAAAAAAAAAAAAAAAAGAAATTAACCATTTACTTAGCCTTTCGTTTCTCTTTTAGTTAATTTTGATCCTTTAAGATTTTTCATATCTAGTATCATAGAATGTTGATTTGAACACAGGTCAAGATTTGATAATTGTTTCTTATTATGGAAATTATAAACAGAGAGGAACTCTCGACCATAAACAATGTTTTCAGCTTCTTGGACTACAAACTCATCTTGACGTAAGAGAGGAACAATAAGCATAACAGAATGCTTAGAATAAACCTCTAAAACAGGATAACCACACAAGTTTCTCTCCTGGAATCAAATAATATTTAATAAAAATAATACAGTATTACTTGGAACAGACATTAATAAACGTTTCAGACATTTACCTCAGAAAACTGACGAATTGTAGGATACCCTACAAAAATAGCAAATATTTTGGTAATAGTAAGAGAAAGAAAAATGGGAAATGTGACATAAATTGCATGAGATATGGCAGGGGTTTTAATTATAGAAAAACCATTCTGTTTTGCTAGAAAGAGTAGATGATCATTCGGAAAAACGCCTGTATCACTAAGAATTACACCATCAGCATATTCAATTTCTTTTGCCTGAAAATATGTATCATTGGTAGAATACAAAAACAATAATATTAATATGTATGATGTAAAATTAAGTACATACCAGCTGATCAGTGTAATAAAACCTCATAGAACTAAATAATGATGATGAAAAAACATCCTTCCTAAAGAAATTTAGATTTTTAAATAATCCTTTGGGTGAATACTTATAGGCTATAATAAGACTACCTATAGGCGGTGTTCCTAATCTTATTTTAACAATGAATTTAAAAATGAAATGAATAGCGATGAATACAAGAATAAATATATACACACATAATGTTAACATCTTAGTTAAGAATAATGATGGATGTTTATTGTCTTTATAATTACTAAGCACAAATTATTCCACATTTATTTAACTATATAACATGTACACGAAAATTCTACAAACCGATAATTCAAACATAAAAACTGTCAATTTTAAAGTGTTATAACGGAGTAATACTAATAATCCTAAGACAAAGATATAAACCATATTGATAACATAGAGCTAAGAGCCAAAGTTTTTTTTTATATTCTCAAATCCAAGAAGCTACAATGGGTATTCAACGATACTGAGACGTCACGTTCGGCTAAGTAACGCTTATTTGTGTAAAGCAGGCTGGAGTCAACTGATGTTTGCATTTAGATTCAAATATCTCAGAAAATAAACTAGGACTGTTTAAAATCGAACAGCCCAGCTGCTAAACTATCCGGATAATGTGGACATCGTAGGGCGGTCGTTGCAGTTTATTATAGAGGGATTTCTAGCTCTTGAAGGCAACCATAGCACTTGGGTTAGCAAGGAATTCACCTCTCCTCTTCTATTTCCGCAGACTAAACTCCATCTTCACAATGCATTAATCTACAAACCAGTCCTTTTGTATGAAACATGGACGACAACTAGAAAAATTGAATAGCACCTACTAGCACCGAATAGCACCTACTAGTCTTTGAGAGGAATGCGTATTATATTGGAATAAATATTTAAAGGGAAAATCAAAGTTTATATTCGTTTTTCTCACCTCGAAAAACCCTAAACGTGAATTTTATAACAATCGAACAATAAACATTTTAGCCTAGGTTGGATTTCAGCCTTCGATTCTTGTTTTTCTAAAATCACATTAATTGTGACCATTTTAAGATTACTCTACCGACCTTTATTAAAATTATCAGGCATTTATGGTACTATAGGATACACGAAATTGCACAAGTCCGTTCTTCGTAAACAAATTAGAACTGAAGATTTAAAATAAAAATGTTTAATACGTTTTTCTTTATTTCAATCTTTTAAAATCATGAAATATAGAAGTTATTGATATGGATTGGAAAGGTAGTAAATGAGTTTTAAAACGGTTGTAGTAACGTCGTAGATGTTTCTAGTTATTTGGCATTCATGTAAATAAACCTATTTTATGTTCATAATAGTACGAAGATAATTGACCGTGAGATCAATAGACATACTATAGACTATAATAGAGATTAATATATGAGGAGTTCGTCGGAGGTGCGGTCAAATAAATACTATATATTAATATAGTATTTTATTAGTTACGCCGATCTTTCAACCCATTTTGTAAGTCTTCATCAGGGCGTGGTATCACGCACTGCAGGAACCAATTGGTAGATTTCACCAACTGCTTCCTTATGATTTTTTCGTACCATTTAGCAACTGCTTCCTGCAATGTCTGATACCACGCCCTTTTGATACCACCCACTACAAAGTGGGTCGAAACATTATTGTAACTAATAAAATAGTATTTTAATATATAGTATTTATTTGACCGCCCCCACCTACTCATTATCATATTATATTCACGGTCAACCATCTATCCACCATTAAGAGATTAATATAATAATATATAATATATATATATTGCAGTAAAAAAACAATAAAATGAGCTCTTCCTTCTTCTCTCCCTCATCAATAAGCTCCCGCCAAATTTATCTATTATGTGAGGCCATTTTTCGATTTCAGGTCTCTCGCGTCTTACACCACACCATCTTTCCATCTCAATTTTGGTCTGTCAGATCTTCTAGTATAATGTAATGGCTCCTTAAGCACTATTATCGGAAGTGCTTACTATGGAAACCATCCCATAGCATTGTAATTACTTGTCCCATGATCAATATAACATGCGAATTAGCCGCATGGGTCAACTAGTTATCAGTAATAGTGCTATATGAACTTTTTTAAATTCCATAGTTCTTTATGGAAATAAGTAAATCACTCAAACATGAGGTTTCGACAACATTTCTTGCGTGAGTCGTTTAAAGCTGTGAGCTTATTAAGAGAAACAAATCTCACAGCTTCACAGCTGAAAGACAATCGGGGACGTGGTGGCCGAATGGACTAACGCGTGTGCACTGCACAGCGAGTTGCCTAGATAACCCAAGTTATGAGATTAAGAAAAATCCGAATTCGCGTCCCGGTGCCGGAGGGGATTTTAAATTCCCTGCCCTCACCCTCCGGCCTGGGAAAATCCCGTATAGTCTAAAAGGCGAGGTAGTGAAGAACAAGAAAAAAACAACAACTTAAAGATCATTTATTTATCACAAACCATGACCCGCGAGACTTCGTGGAGGCCTCAATGGGGTCCGCAGGACTTATGGAGGTTTCAATGGGATCCCCAGGACTTAGTGGATACAGTGGGGTCATATGGAGTCACTTTTTGATTGGTTGGCCATCTGGATTGTCCCTTGCTATCTGCTTGCTATATAGGCACCTCAAAACTGTTAAATTTTCATATTTTATTAGATGTATTTTAGTTTAGAAGCTTAATTTTGTTGTTTAAGTGATAGATTTAGTTTATTAATTGATAGTTTTTATTGAACAGTTATACATTTTAGTGTTTAATGTTGCATCAGCTAATAGCCTCGAACTATAAAAATACCTTCTATAACCAAGTTTCAAACTTAATTTCGATCTTTTTCTATCATAACCACTGAATTACAAAGGAAAATCAATAAAATAAAGTAACAAATTAAAGGGTTAAGTCGTTTTCGAAACCTATATGAGTCAAATCAACACAATAAGAGGTGATTTAAGAGGATTTTTCATAGAGAAAAATGAGTTCCGTTGATGAAGAACACATAATTCATTGTCACAATATTAAAGATAGTATGCTTAAGAGGTTTATTGTATTTAGACTTAGGATAAATTCAATAAGTAAAAAGAATTTGCCTCATACGTCTGTTTTTATTTTGAGAGAATTAAATTAATAAAATGGAAATCTGTATACCGAAGTTTATTGAAATATATTTTAAAAGAAGTTAAATAGAAAAAACAAAATATTGTTCTCTGATTTTATTATTTATTTTCGCGTGATATAAGTGATTCATATGCTTCATTCAACTTGCCCAGCTTAAATTCTGTCTCCTAAACCATTCTAGTTAATAGTTGGTTACAATAATTACTTTTTAAATTGAAATAACAAAGGGAGACAATTCAAATATTTTTTCTGTTCGTTTTTCCTACTGTTGGTGTCTTGAGTTTTTTATTTTTTACAATAAGTTAGGCCAATTTTCACCAACATTTTATTGATACGCATTAATTTGACGTATCGACCATACTAAGGGTCATTTTCTAAACTTGATGAGTCCTTCGTTATATGTTCATCATTAATGTTGTAATTAATATGTTCAGTGAACATTAACTTGTCATGTTATATAGGGGCTTCGCCCACGTCATTTATGGAGAGACTCAGTCAAGTTAATGATGAACATATAACGAAGGACTCATCAAGTTTTGAAAATGACCCTTAGTATGGTCGAAATGTCAAATTAATGCGTATCAATAAAATGTTGGTGAAAATTGGCCTAATTTATTGTAAAAAATAAAAAAATTCAAATATTATTTTCCCGCCGATCCAATATGGCCGCCCCAACCGTATGACCTCGTTCGAAAAAGTTTGGACACCTCTGAGTTAAACCGTTCTTTACTGTTCTTCTCCTTGAACTAGTTCGTTCATGAACTACACTGTTCTCGTTGATGTTTACCAACTGTTATCAGTGTTTGCTTTTACTTTTTGGAAAAGTGAAATTAAGGTAAGATTTTAGTTTTTGTATTAATTTGTAAATTACGAAATGCAAGAACAAATAGTGAAGTCCTTTCTTCAATTAGTGTATTTTTTATCTCCAGTAATTTATTATTAATGCTTTAACAAACAGCTCTTAAGAATTCCACTTATTTGCAATAGTTTCCATTTTCATAAGGTTAAAAATCAATGATTTAAGATTTGCTTAGAAATTCTAAAAATACAATTTTTACTTAAAGTTAAAATATAATTCTATATTTCCTTGCTTGAAACTTGAATGTAAACTCATCAGCTTATGATTTTTTTTTTTACAATTTTTATTTTAATCAAAATTCTTTAAAATTTGGTTATACATTGCTGTTTAGTTATTGAAAATTATTCTTAAACAACAGTTGGGCTTCAGAAAATTTCAGCTGTACAACAATATTATTGATTAGAAGATTACATTTCCAGTTTCCACAAAAAATTTATTGTTTTGGAGTTTCCCTTGACGTCAGTTAAGCTTTTGGTGAGGTATTTAGGATTCTTTTTCAAGCTCGTAATTTCGCTTCCTCTATAATAGTGAATTACTATATAACAGGGGCTCTTTCAGCTGACGTCCATAACTTGACCCTCCATTAGGCCTCCAGCTTTATTTTTAATGCACCCTTCAGCTGACCGAAAGGCCTTTCTACCCTTGCCATCTCTGCTTATTTTTAGTTAATCAGATAGACTTTAATTTACCAATCAGCCATCCTCGATACTACCCTATTTGTATGAACTGTCAATCCAGTAGCTGACGTGGATTACGTCAACCATCAATTCATTTTTTCTGATGTTTGGTTGGTAGAAGACCTCCCTAACTGCATCTTCTGTATCTTTATAATATTTAACTTTTAACACATTTGGTTTAATGTTTAGTAAATAGCTGTATGATGTTTAACTGAAGAGATATTTTCTACAAGAGTAAGCCATTTACTTATTAAGTAATCTGTAACTTCAACATAGTGATCATAAAGTATGGAGCCAACACATCAATTGTGTGGGTTGAATAGATTTTCCTGATATTTACTTCATAAATTCTCATAGGATTTACTGGTGAAATTGTGTTGCCATAAAATATTTTAAAAATTCCTTTCCTCTTTTCAAAATTCTAGAAATCTATTATGATATATATATAGAACTTGGAAACTTTAATTCATTTAATTGATTACTTGTCTCATTGGTGCAGTCATTACAAATATTTTTAGATGGCCAGAAGAACGCCCAATTTTAATTACAAAGAAGAGGAGATACTGTTAAATTTAGTCAAAAAATATAGTCACATATTAGAAAATAAACGGACCGACCATTTGACATCTAAACAGAAAATCATGTGTTGGG